ATAATAATAATAATAATAATAATAATAATAATAATAATAATAATAATAATAATAATAATAAAAAACTAGGGAGGATCCCTTCTGAAACACTTCCCATCCCCATTTCTGTGGAGCGAGATGTCTTTGGCATGATGGTTGTCTAGTCGGTGGCTCTTCCTCCTGTCTCTCAAGGTTACTCCCACATACCGTTATAAGAACAGAAGTTGAGATTGCAGCAGCCTACGTCTCACCTAACTGGAGGAACATAATGTAGGAGAATGTGAGGTGACTTAGATTAGTGCTGAAGAGGCAATGTACATCTCTTCATCAAAGCAAAGAGGCAACACAATTTGCTCCAATGAAGCACGTGGCACTGCTTCGAAGCTTCCCCGTGTCTGTTTTCCCAACTGGTGGACAGTACTGGAGAAGACCAAAGCTAGAAGTGGCTTCTGTGCTGGTACTGTGCAGAGCCCAGAAAAAAATGAAGCAACATGTTTCCTTAGTTTCCCTCTTAGAAGTGAAGGATCTCTGTTACTTTGTAAAGCAACTTAAGGGCTTTGCTTGAAACTTCAGCAAAGCAGAACACCCTTTCAAGTTATGCACAGCCTTACAATTTGGTCGGGAGCATAGCAGTGTTTGCAGAGCCCCATCAGAAGGCTGAATGCAAAATGGCAGCTCCTACAATAGGATGTCATTCAAATATTTCAATTGATTTTGGCAACCGCAAGTGGACACTTACAGACTGCGAGCTGTCCTTGCTGTTGTCCCTGGATTTGTTCTTTGCAAGCCTCTTCTTTTTCTTGTGCAAAGGCCTTGACTCCAGAATCATCTCTTCCAGCTCAAAAGTGGGGTCGCAATGCAGACGACCTTTCTGTGATAATCAGACCGAGAGGCTGCCGTGTGAATAGCAAGCAAGATAATGCAAGCAACATTCTGACCCCAAATTTGTTAGCCCCGGGGCAGCGGGGGGGGGAGGGGAATACTGCCTTCTTCGTGAATAACAGAGATCAACAACAAACGTCCTCATCACTGTGACTTACATTAGGAACAAAGCCAGGCTCCACTTTCTTTTCACAAATTTCATCCCAGTCCACATTAGATAAGTAGGAGGATGTCTGAACGTTGGCTAGACTAGAAAAACGATGCTCTGGATTCACTGTCAGAAGCTGAAATTGGAAACCAGAGGGGTGAGGCAAATTTATTTAGGGCAAAATTGAGCAGCTGGAAAAAAAAATGGCTGTTTCTTAGCTTTACTTCTGCACATTGGCAGTGGAAGTGTGCGCAATAAAAAGAAATCTGCTTCCTTTTCTCAACAATTAAACCGTAGTCTTTTAAGTGCTTCTCAGAAGGATGGCACTGCAACACACCGCAGATAATGTTCATGTTCGATTTTGGTTTTATTAAGTGCATACCAAGGGGCAACTTTATTTTATTTATTACATTTGAACAATTAAAAATGTAACATCTCATTTATTTTGTCTTCCACTTGGCAAAATAGCCTTTGTGATTAGGGTTTTGTTTGTTTGATGGTTTGTTTGTTTTTATTTTTTTAATAGAAGACTCAGTCTTCTGCAGTCTACCATTAAGAAACTTGTTTATCTCATGTTAGATGCCCAGGGATATTTGGATGCTGGGGTTGCTTCTGAGTAATAAAGTGCAACCCCTCTGACTGAGCTACACTCATGTGTCCTACAGTACTTGAGTCACTGTTTGACAAAGAATGCAAGGGCAGCACCAATTCTTCATTACAGCTGTTGGTGTGCCTTCCCTCTACGTGCAACGGCACGGCTGCCCACAATTTCATTGTCTTTCTTAACATCTACATTTGGGAAGAAGGAAGAGAGCAAGGTCTCCTAGTTGCATCAGTTCAGAGTTTCTTCTCTTCTGTGACTGGGGGTAACATCACTCTCCTTTCCTACTGATGCTCATCTAATTCAAATGTGAACAAAACATCTCATTGCCTCAACAATTCATTCTTCATCTGGGTTTTCCACAAATACTCATCTGCAGAATGTTTTGTACCTTCTGCTGCTTATTACTTTCCATAGACTATGTTTGTTTTGGAGGCTATCTTCCTACACTACTCCAGCAGAGGGGGTATTCTTGTTGAGTAAATTTTCATAATAAAACTCTACTTTCAAATCAAACTTTAATTACACATGTTGTCCCTCTAGGACAGATTTATATTGGAGCACTTGATTCTTGTCACTGTTGTATATATGCATTCTTTTTCTTTCTTCCTTTTTTACAGGCTACTTGTCTTTTAAAAACATTCAACATTTACAGGCAAAAATGGCAATTGCCCTTCTCAACAAAACCCCAAGCCATTACTTAGCCAGACAGATTATATTTAGTGGCTTTCAGGAAAGAGGGAATGTGTTAAAGGATTCTTTATCTAGTGGGTAAAGTTTACACATTATCTTGGTTTTTTTAACTTTATTTTTAGGATATTAACAGTGAGATCTAGTGGATCCTTTTCTCATTAGGGTTCTGGTTCAAAGTAACAGCCAGCTATTAATGTCCTCCTATAGCACTGGTTCCTAAATGTTTTGCCATCACACTTCCCTTTAGTGTAATCTCAATGTACATATCTCCCCTAAATATCCAAACACCAAAATGAACACTAATGAACAATGAAAACAATACAATGAAATTTTGGGAAAGCTGGATTTATTGTAACAGTGTTACTAAAAGGTTCTTCACACCTCACCTGGGCTCTGTCTGCACCTCCCCAGGGGAGGTACACTTCACAGTTTGTAGGGAAACTCAACTCCATTTCATTTCACCATTCTCACCACCCTTGTCTCACTTTCCATTTTCCTTTTCCAACAGATATTGAAGAGAGCTGGCAAAGAATTTGAAGGAACATTTTGCAATGGATTTGAAGAGTGCTTTGCACAACATGCTGGCACAAGGGAAACGCCCCTCATTGAAATGTTCAGAGAGCTGGGTCCTCCAGAAAGCCCATCACAACTGCTTTGGGGCCTTCCCAGGCAAGCACAAACACCTTTCCACTGGGACTGCTAATGGTCAGGAGGGGACTGTGCAAAGCAGAAACAATCTGGAAAAGCCCCCAAACAGTTGGATGAGGAGAGAGGACCTTTGCTCATGCCAACATAGTCTATGAATCACCCCTGTGCACAAATCTAGTATTCAGTATTCCATGGCCACTAAGCACGCTCAGTTTCCAGTGGTCTGAATTTGGATACTCTGGGTACTCTGTTTCTGACTTTTATTTTTTAAAACTTGTTTGTACTTTTGCCAGCCTTTCGTCAAGCATGCTGATAACTTCCCCTTGCTTCTCAAAAGCCCCATGGTGGAGCCAGTCTGGGCAATAATCACCACCTAAGTTCATTGTCAGTGGGAATTATAAATTTATCACACTATCAGACTTCCTGATTGACACTTCACTCTCAAGTGATACCAACCATTAGCGCAATTAGCTAATGTTTCATACACAGGAGGCAATTGCTTTTATAAAGAAGTCTGGCACATACAGTTTGATACACAAACTGACCTTGATTATTCACAGTTTAAACTTTCATGGAGGGTTGTTACCATCCAAACACAATTACAGCCTCCTACAGACATTCCCCCTCAACATGGGAATGCCAGAGGAAGGAGGAATTGGGTTGCAAGACACATCCCACCCATTTCACACATTTTTGTCTTTTGAATGCCTATAGGGGGTATCACAATCTGAAAACAAAATATGAAAATAAGTACTTATTAATCAAGCCACAAGAAAACCCTATGAAAAGTATCACTGGCAATTAAAACTATAGTCGTTGCATACCTTTAACAATAAATGACTGATTAGCAGCCACATATCTTTTCCTCACTGTCAATGCACATTTACATTTTTGCCCAATGAGAATGATGCCTATACAGAGCTGGAAAGCATTTGAGGGACAGGAGACATTATTTGTGGTGCAAAACACACTCTCTCTACTTCAGTGCTTAGGACTGCAGGCATGACTTTCTGACACTTCTGGGAACAGCGAAGTAATGTGTTGGAAGCAACTGTTGCTACAGAGACACATGTAACATGTTGGCAAGTCAGAGGGAGCACATATTTTTGGATCAAAGCCCATATTTGTGCAGTGATAGTGAATCATTGCAATCCTTGCTGAAGAAACAATGATTTTACCTTTCTTAATAATGCCACCATGTCTTTTGACCAAGCTGTTGTGTACTGAACACTCACAGTGCTGAACAGCTGAACTAATGATTCCACTGGGCTATTGGAATGGATGTCATAAGGCCTCTGAGGGAAAAAAAAAAGATGAATAAATGGAAATACATGAGAACTCCATATTTATTTTTGAAAACCATCAAGCATTTAACTAATGCGATCAATGCTATTACTATCATCATCACCATGCTTCGATCACCACATGTTTTGACTATTACAATGTATATGGGGCTGCCTTGAAGACCCTTCGGAAGCTGCAACTGGTCCAGAATGCAGTGGCACAGGCATTTATGGGCATGTCACTGTATGTCCATTTACAGTGGCATCCTTTGTGAGCTGCACTGGTTGCCAGCAGGCTTCTTTGTGCAATTCAAGATGCTGGTTATCACCTATAAAGCCCAGTATGGCATAGGGCCTGGTTACCTGAAAGACCATCTGTCTTCCATAGTTACTCTTTCCCAGATGACTAGGCAGAATCAGCACACTCCAGATTCCTTTGATTAAACAGTGTAATCTGTTTAAGAGACCCATGAAGTTGTAGTGCCTGCCCTCTGGAACCACATCCATCTGAGATGTGTACAGCCCCCACCCTGGACTTATTCAAAGGAGTCCTTAAAATCTGGCTCTTCCCCTAGGTTCTGGACTAGTGTGTGTTATCCTTTGTGTGATGACTGCTTTGTTAGAGACTGCATCCTTTTTCTCAGATGTTTTACTTTAGTTTCATATTGTTTTGTCTCAAATTGCTTAATATTGTACACTGCCAAGAACCGCAATGGAGTTGGGCAGTAAATAGATACAATAGGTCATCCCAGGAATGGCACTACACATAAACTGGAATAATACGAAGCTTCCAACACCTGAAGAACATTAGATTCTGTTCTGTATTCACACTCATCTATAGAAAGTGGCAATTTATTATTTAGCTGCCTTGTTTGTGTAACATACAAGTATGTGTAACTGCTTTCTTCAATAAGGCCTTTTAACTTCTATCTCATTTGTATGTTCATTGCCTTGGAATCCATGAACCTACTGCCCACATTTTGATGTGGCAAAGCAACTTCCAAAGCATTTTTAAAAATAAAGAATATGTCAGGCACCCATCCACGGAGAAGCTCGTATGCCATCACTCCCAGCGACCACCAATCAACTTCAAAGGAGTACCCTGTTCCACCATTCAGAAAGGAATGAAAGATCTCTGGAGCTGAAAAGAAAAACAGGGACATGATTTAATGCCTCCATCATTTTTCGTTTCTGTAAAACTGCTGTTGTAGCTTTGCATATTCCCATAGATGTAAAACCAGATGTTCCTATGAATTCAGTAGGGCTTAATCACAGGTAAATAAGATACAGGATCTTCTAGCCTGCAACTGGGTATGCTGGCTTAAGATGATAGGAATGAGAATCACATGTCGACCTCACATAGAGGACCAAATATTGGGGAAGACAATAACCAAGTCAGTTGAGAGTAAAGTAAATGAAGTTCAGAACTTCTGGAGGACTCCAGATTGGGAATAGGCACTTGTATAGTTATGTAAAGCAAAGATCAGGAAATGGCTTGCTAATATGATCCCCCCTCCCTGTAGCTTGCATTTTTCTAGAGTAAACTGATACTGAATGGACCATGTGCTTAATCTCAGAAATGTGATATATAGCTGCCCTCTGCCATAAACAGCCAATATCAATGGAGGACTAAGGAGCAAAAAAGTTTAATTAATGAAATAGAAAATTAAAGCATACTTAAGCCTAATTAATCTCTTTATGAGAAGTAAACAGAAATAGGTTTAAGTTGGATGAAAACTATTTGATGGCCAAAATAACCAAACTTTGGGGGGATAATTATAGGCTAAATATTATTTTATGTGAAAAAGATATATTATATGTGTACACCATATGGTATAGAATGAATGAATACACACACCCACACAACAGAATAAATGTGACAGAATCCCAAAATATGAACCAGTTTAGCAGGAAAACGTTTATCTCATTTGGATTGAGTGGGAAAAACATAATTTTGGATTTAAGGATAGGAAACATGTGACTTTTAAAAGATGGATAGAATATCCACCTACCTCTAACCCATCAACTTCTAACCCTGTTAGAGGTTTAGCCTTCTTTACAGGTAGATCTGCATTAGACTAGTGAAATCTACTTATTACGCAGATCTTTTGGAACTTTGATCAGAATAAAAATAGAGTTTAGTCTACTTTTCTTTTCTGGGTATATTAGGAGATGTGAAGTTTTTTCATACTAAAGATGCTTCCGGATAGTGGGCTCCTAGTATTATTAATGAAAAAATGTCTGCCCATTGTGCTTTTGATTCCTTAATGGATTCTATCTAGAAGAAAAACAAAGGTAAAAGTAGAGGATTACAAACGAAAAATGTGACTTCACAACAAAAACCTTCTCTGGAAGTGACCCTAAAGTAATTAATGATCATTTTAATTAGTTTGTTACAGTAACAGAATATTTTTATTTCTTGCTTTTCATCACACAGTGAGCTTTTAAACCATTTGTAAATCATCTTGTGGCAGTCAGTTCTAGTCATGGTATTCCAAGAAAAATCCTAATATAATATTTGAGGAATACAATCTACCAGCCCATTATGAATATGCAGGCAAACAACATAATTAAACAACTGAAAAGTGTTTACTTACCCATATAGGGCTTAGTTCCAGCAAGAGCAGTTGCTCTTTCACCATCTCTGATGATTGTTGCAATATTAAAATCGGTTAGGTGGGCATGGCCTTAAACAGAACACAATATGACATTTAAGTACAAAGACCCCCTAGTGCTAATTTATTCTGAAATATATGATTTAAGAGAACACTGGTAATAAAGAATATTATAAATTGACATAAAAATTGAATCTATCCTTATGAATGTGAACCATGGGGCGTTATCAAAATCTCGTAAAATTCTCACTGCTGGAAAAAAAAGAATTAACCACTCCAGCGCATCATTCTCAGACATTTTCTGGAGCCAGCAAGCACTTCACTAAATCTCTGCTTTCATTTAAAGAAGGCAATTTGGCTATGAATATGGCTTGGGTTTTGCTGTTGTCTGATATTTGATGTAGAAATCAGCATGCTGAAAGGAACAGTTTTAATCCTTGTGGATTCAGAAAAAAATACACAATAAATTGCATCATTGTGAGAATAAAAATTGAATAGGCTTTCTAGGGTTGACGGTAAGGCTTTCCAGACTTCTATTCTTACAGACTACCCACCCCAATTATCCTTAGTGTTTCCAAGTTCCATTCCACCAATTATTGTAAGCATACATACAGATGTGGCCAAAAGTATTGGTATTCCTCCACTTTTTCCCAAAGTGGGACAAGATGATCTACTCTCACACGCTGGCTGCCTGTTCTGAGTCATATACCACCCCGGATGTAAGACGGAAAAATGCCCTCCTTCAAGAAAACTGGAAAATTATTGATAACCCCCAGCTACTAATATTGAGCGATGCAATCTGCCTGGAGCAAAATAGGCTGAGATCTAGACAGACAGCCATTTCAACTGCTAAATCACTCGTAGAAGATGACTTTCACATCCACAACATATGGAAACAGTACTCATGAGAAAACTGCCCCCCCCCCCAATGTCGAAGCTTGCTCTGCATCTCAGAGAAACCATCTGGATTTGACCAGCCCCATGTGATATGGACAACACTGAACAGAATTTGCATGGGCAATGGTAGATGTGCAGATGGCCTTTATAAGTGGGGCAAAATAAGATCGTTGAATTGTGACTGTGGGGCTGAAAAACAAACTATCCAACATATAGTGACAGAGTGCCAAAACAGTGCCAAAGCAGAGCCTATAATGGAGATTTTGTTGACTTCCTGGCTGTGACAAATGAAGTAAAAAATTATATTTGTAATCTAGACATATGTTTATAATTTTATATTTTGTAACTCTTGTGTTTTTATTCTACTGAATTGTGATGTGAATGTGCCATACAATAAATAAAATAAAATCCCAAAGAATCCCAATTTGCCATGAAATAAATTAAAACTGACACAAGTGAATGGCAACCACCATTCTTTATTCCATAGTCCATGGAGCAGATACTTTGTTTTTGATGTATGACTAATTAAAGTAAACAGTCTGCTTGAGAGATCACTAAAATCCAATAATGTCCTTTAACTTCTAAGGGGTGCCGATAATTATGTCCATTCCATTTTAATTTGTTTTACTATTTACAAGAATACGTTAAGACATATGGAGGGATACCAATACTTTTGACTGCATCTGTACCAATACTGAAGTCCTATTCTGCATTCTGTATTCTGAATGCAGAATAGGACTTCAGTATAACATAATAGTGATTAAATCCACTGATTACAGTTGGCTGAAATCATCTAAATACAGTGGTACCTTGAGTTACGAACGCCCCTCCTTATGAATTTTTTGAGATACGACCAGCTCCGGCCCCCAAAATTTACCTCGACTTGTGAACTCCACCTCGAGTTACGAACCGGATCCGCGGCCATTTTCCCTGCTGCCACGCAGTTGCGGCTTCCTGTGGGGGGGTGCGGGTTAGCAAGGAGTCGTTCGGTGAGGCTTGTGGTGTGTTTTGTGGCGTTTGGAAGGTGTTTGGTGTGCTTGTCAGCATGGCTCCA